CGAGAAAAGGGGGCAGCCCGTCTCAGAATAGCGCTGGCACCCCGAAATACGACGAACGGCATGGCAACGTCAGCGAAAAAAGAGGCGTCCTAAACGGGCAGAAAACCGCCGCTTCCTCGGAGTAGAATAGATATCAGCGACGGACGCGGCAAGGTCTCGTTCTTTTTTTTTGGGAGAGCTCTCTCGCTCCCTCTGGTCCCACAGCATGACGCGTCAGCATCAATTGACGGTATAGGGCCAAGTCATAGAGAAATATAGTACTACGTAAAGAGCGGACACTTCCATAGGCCCCAGCGGCCCGATTCAGTGTCAGCGAGCGCACCCAGCGGCCGGTATAATCCCTAGTTGAGTGTTGAATGGATGGATACACGTACACCCCACAGGCCAGATGAATGAATGGATTCAAGGCGAATTCTGACAGTATTTTTATCGGGCAGTAGCTTGCGCCCTCTAGTTAAACGAGTAAGTGTTATTGTAATTAGCGTGCTTTCTGTTTAAATATAATTGTTTTATAGGTATACCTTAATTGTATTGCAGAAGAAAGTCATCCAGCGCTATATATAATTCAAACTGACTGCACACCGAAAAGGGTATTTTCAAATTTGTGCTAACTCTCTTGAAGGGACGAGGGACGACACCAGGGATTGACCACAAAAGTATTTATTCTTGTAGCTATGACAAGCAAAACAATCATCAGTGAGTGATGTATGTCATTCATACATTACAAAAATAAGAATACATATGCAAAATGTATGAATAACGTGTCAACAGTGCAACACTGGAAAAAAAGTGCTGTATTACAGCGACAAATGCAATATGACGGAGGGCAGTTAAAGAAATTATCGTCCAAGTTTCATGAAAGGCGCTTGCACATGTGACCATGCGACTAATACAGCAACAATAGAAGAACAATCTGGCCCAGTGCTTTCTAAATTCAGTGACCGAATGCAAATGTCCGTCAACAAAGAAACTACAGTCACAATACTTCTTACGTATACCATGACCGTGATGAGAAAAATAAACAACTGAATGTCTAAAGGAGGATGCAAATAGTATAGACTATTGACATAGTCGTACATAATGACCCCAACAGATGCCAGGAATGCAATATGCGCTGCTCAAATAAACATATCTTGCTCTTGCTGACTAAACCAATGATGAAGATCAAAATAGCAAGAACTGGAAGCCAATGGACGGCCTAACAAAAGCAATACAATGGCCTATGCTAATAGAGTATGGGAATGAGAACTCTTCCATTCAATATGACCATGATGCAAAAAACCAACATGTGATAGAAATGACTGTCATTAGCACACTGGGTCCGAGACCTACTCATCAAAAATAATCACAAGAAATGCTTGGCATGAACTTTGCACCACCCAATCAAATACATCTCCCTTTTCAATAAGCTTCACTTCTGTGTAAATTAGGAATCATGATCATAAGCAATAAGAACTGTCACTCTAAAAAATGAAAAGGCCCTTCACAATCCATTAATTCACAATTAAAGAAACAGTTACAAACAGTTTTAAGAAATTCTTGGGGCGCACCCTGCACTCCCGAATTAATACACTTAGCGCTTGTATAAACAACAGATATCTCAAAAAAGCAGCATTAAGGCTTCAACACGTATCTCAAATATGAGGTAAGCTTTACCCCTTGAACTTGTTAAGCTGTGCACCTGATGAGCAAGATTGAAAACGAGCCTTGTGTAAGTTTCTATTCACAAAACGCACATGCCAACATAAACGAACCCTGCAAAACATTTTTAAAAAACGCACGCGGCACTCCGCAGTACAAAAATTAAAATGTCCAATGCATGAGAGATTTCGGAACAAGACATCACACATGTTTCAAAGATGGGCTACACTTTCAATGATGGAAAGAAAGTTACACTCGAGCTCCTGAACCAACGTGAAAGCTGCGTCCGATGGCACAGTGAGGTTACCAAAGAGTTTTCCTGGAACATGATATGCCTTAAGCATGGTAAAATACTGGTGGGGCCTGTTGAAGGTATCCTCTTTGTTCCTAAGCAACTCGCAACAACGACAGCCTTCTGCAGACTTCTCAGTGAACAATTTGATGAGAAATCCAGAAACATAATAGGTGGCAGAGTCGTCAATAACATGGGAACTCTGGTGTGACGCCAATTCAGAAATGTTGTCCAAAGAAGGAAAGTCGTCTGGGGGGAAAACTTCCACAACATCTGCAAGTGATGCTACATGAAGAGAAAATGGCGACTGCTCCTGAAGGAGGTCTGCCCCATCATCCTCCACATTCCCCTTATCTGAAAGAATAAAAAGCTTGCGTATCCCAATGTGCTTGAGCCCGGAGATGAACTGGAACACATTGATGTTCATGTTGCAACCCCGCTTTTGACGGATGTGCCAAAACATATTTTCCAGCGGGTCTTGTTGCAGTCGCCGCGTGAATAAAAACTCGAAGTCAAAATTTTCTGAAATGTCTTCCCAGAGCAGGAGGATAGCTTTAATAGTTATTTGCCACCCTATGATGGTATGTGGCTGACGCCTGCCCTCGAACTTCCAGGCCGCAATCCATGGGAGTTGTTGTTCAAGAAACTCAATTAACTCCGATTTCCCTTTGCCAATTGCATATCGCAAATTTCGTTCAGTTTTCTTCGGACAACAACTATTCAAGCAGTCGAAAAGCTTATCCATTCTATCGCAAAAATATGCTGTGGATCTGGCTGAATCGGGGAGCTCGTTTGCATAAACAAGAGATAAAAGTGCGAGACACAGCGAGCCACTTAGGACCTGTCTGGCCCGCGCAACCTTCATATTGTTAAACGGTTTCTGAAAAATATGTCGGTCGGTTAGTTTTGGGGCCAGTCGTAGTCTCATCTCATGTGTGGAGTAGTACAGCTTTACTATGTGTGCCCAGTCAACAACCTCATTTCCAATGTGAAGCCTGTGCGATTGCACAATATTGCGAGTTGTTTTTATTAAATGAGGCACATCGAAAATGAAGTAAACACGGTCATTGTTTACGGTAAAAAAAGGCTGTGCTATAGAAACACCCAGCTGACTGGCTAAGCTTACGTTTGAAGCACCTTGGTCACAGATCACAGCTTTAACTGTGATTCCAATGCCTTTTAGCTGCTCAATCAGTGAGAACAGTAAGTTGCGGATTACGGAAGATGGCGTCGACGTGTGCCCAATGGTATAGGCGATTGGTTGCACCCACTTTCTAGAAATCCCCGACAGAAGGACAACCATCGCCCTGTCGGCAATTGTTGAAGTTCGTTCGCTGCCATCATCCGTAAATCCGAGCACAACGTCCTGTGTAGCGTCATAGCACAGGTTTTTCTTCAGCACAATCTCATCGAAGATGAGAGTGCAGACACGGTCGCGCTTATTCCAAGACTGCGTCCTTGTCAAAATGAAAGACATAATTCCAGGAATGATTCCGGGTGTCATTTTAACATTAGACAACCATCTTCTCGGCGATCGCCGAGACGGAAGAGTAAAATAGGAAGACAACAAACGGTATGCCCGTGGACCACGAAAGTTCAAGTGCAGGGCAAGCTTTTTAAGCCAAAGCGGAAATCGCTTTCCCTTGCCCTTCAACCTCAGGTTAACATGGCTCGACAGCAGCTGGAATACCTCCTCGCTGACGTGAGGGCGAACCATGTTGAGAGCTTCTGAAGTTGTCCGAGGCGCCTTCTGCTGCTGCTTGCGCAATCTTGCGAGGGCCTTCCTATACTTGGAAACTTTGGCCTGCAGACGCCTTATAGTGTCCTTGGATTTTATTGCACTATTTCAGACAGAAGGCGCTGAAGTTCTTCAAACTGCAGAAGCAGAAAATACAAATTAGTGAGTTAGCAATGCTTATATGATGAACACAATCAAATGTACTTGATACCGACGTAACCTAAGGGTTATAGATGATCTGCTCTTAAACTACAAATAATTGAAACCGATGACGAACTTGTCGTTAATGATATACTAGATAAATTGAGTATGTTTTAATCTTCAATAAATAAGATTAAAACATACTCAACCATAAGGAATGCATTTGCAAACCATAACGAATGCAATATTTACACTCAATGATGGCAAAAAAACATACATGCAATACTTTTAGATTCCAAATGAAGGTCTCTCTTACCATGGGCACCCGTTGAAGAAGCCAAGGGGCAGCCGGTGGAGGGCGCACTGCCAGGAGTGGTCACCTCCATGTGGTCTGCAGGAGTTTGTCGACTATATACTTGTTGTTTCCAAATGAAGGTCTCTCTTACCATGGGCGCCCATTGAAGAAGCCAAGGAGCGGCCGGGGGAGGGCGCGCTGCCAGGAGTGGTCACCTCTATGTGGTCTGCAGGAGTTTGTCGATTAGATACTTGTTGTTTCCAAATTAAGGTCTCTCATACCATGGGCACCCGTTGAAGAAGCCAAGGGGCAGCTGGTGGAGGGCGTGTTGCTAGGAGTGGTCGCCTTCATGTGGTCTCCAAGAGTCTGTCGATTAGATGCTTTTTGTCTCCAAATGAAGGTCTCTCTTACCATGGGCATCCATCGAAGACACCAAGGGGCAGCTGGTGGACGGTGTGCCGCCAGAAGTGGTCGCCTCCATGTGGTCTGCAGGAGTTTGTCGACTAGATACTTGTTGTTTCCAAATGAAGGTCTCTCTTACCATGAGAAACCATTGAAGAAGCCAAGGGACAGCCGGTGGAGGGCGCGCTGCCAGGAGTGGTCGCCTCCATGTGGTCTGCAAGAGTTTGTCGATTAGATACTTGCTGTTTCCAAATGAAGGTCTCTCATACCATGAGCACCCGTTGAAGAAGCCAAGGGGCAGCTGGTGGAGGGCGTGTTGCTAGGAGTGGTCGCCTTCATGTGGTCTGCAAGAGTTTGTTGATTAGATACTTGTTGTCTCCAAACGAAGGTATCTCTTACCATGGGCACCCATTGAAGACGCCAAGGGGCAGCTGGTGGAGGGTGTGCTGCCAGGAGTGGTCACCTCCATATGGTCTGCAATAGTTTATCAATTAGATACTTGTTTCCAAATGACGGTCTCTCTTACCGTGGGCGCCCATTGAAGAAGCCAAGGGGCAGCTGGTGGAAGGTGTGCTGCCAGGAGTGGTCGCCTCCATGTGGTCTGCAATAGTTTGTCGATTAGATACTTGTTGTCTCCAAATGAAGGTCTCTCATACCATGGGCAACCATTGAAGAAGCCAAGGGGCAGCTGGTGGAGGGTGTGCTGCCAGGAGTGGTCGCCTCCATGTGGTCTGCAATAGTTTATCGATTAGATACTTGTTGTTTCCAAATGAAGGTCTCTCTTACCGTGGGCGCCCATTGGAGAAGCCAAGGAGCAGCTGGTGGAGGGCGTGTTGCTAGGAGTGGTCGCCTTCATGTGGTCTGCAAGAGTTTGTCGATTAGATACTTTTTGTCTTTTTGTCTCCAAATGAAGGTCTCTCTTACTATGGGCACCCATTGAAGACGCCAAGGGGCAGCTGGTGGAGGGTGTGCCGCCAGAAGTGGTCGCCTCCTTATGGCCTGGAAAAGTTTGTCGATTAGACACAGGTTTTTGCGCCTAAAAACTGGTGCTACATTTTGAAGCAATGGAAGCACTAATGTCCACAAACGAAATACACCCCTATTAATACAATTCACGTGGTTGGAGAGGTAAACAAAGCATTACCTTGAACTGTGCCAGTTTCCCGGCGAGCCTCGGGGTGAACAGAAGGCACTGCAGTTCTTGTCAGCCTTGTTTTTGCAGGATCCATGAAGTCTCGTGCTAAGAAGTGATCGCTACAGATGCGATACTTCATGAACAGCTCAGTCGCTTGTTTACCCAGAGGGTCGTCCCTGTTCGCATACTGGAGCCAGGCCTTCGACCTGCAACATGTATTGTTGTTCACTATTGTAAAAGGGGCGCCTCGGTCAAACATATAGCTGCCTGGTCACGGTGATCTATATATTTTGGTGCCACTTGAGATTGATAAGTGAAATAATATTGCCTGAAAGCATTCCAGTCGTATAAACGTGCACATACATCATATTTCCGATAGCTCAAGAGTTGCGCAAGGCTGCAAACACAAAAGTAGTAACCCAATCACTATTATTACCACGAGACCAATGGAGTATTGAGTACTAAGTCGGTGTTGACGAACTGGCCCAAGTAAATTTTTCCTATGCCAGAAAACAGTGTTTTTCTCGCAAGCTAGTGCTTTACAGTTTTTGCGTGAATTATGATGTTTCAACACGTATATAGAACAAATAATCGACTCTTTAGCACAATCTCAATCCAGTCCTACAAAATGTATAATTTTTCGTGCAATTCGCTACTTGGGAACCAAAATTTTGTTAAGATCACTCTCCACGACTATTCACTACACAGTACTTAGGGCGAAGTGGAAAGTTTCCAGTCGCATTCGTTACAAACAGATAAAAAGCTTTTATAATAATAATAATGACTTTATTTTCAGTGCCCAAAAACAACCACAGCGGTCTTCACTTTGGTGCACCTGTTCAATCCTAGAAACACGTTGGTATATTACCATCACCCAAAAACAAATAAACAAACAAAATGTTATCAGTAAATTACAAGGTTATTCAACTGATGGCGGTACAATGAAATGGATGTACAGAAATCGAGGTGCTTAGGAGCAATGCTGTTGTATAATGTCTGAATCCGAGAAAGCGGTGAAGTACAACAAGGTGAACGTACATCAAAGCATACGGGATGTCTAGTATGGCGTAAGTTAACATGAAAATTAACTTTGCTGAGCATTGATGGCGAATCAATTACACTATTCACAACCTTATGCAAAAATACAAAATCATGAATCGTTCGCCTTTCAGACAAGAGTGTAAGCGAAAATGACCTAAGTATGTATTCATAGTCATAATGACAGCGCCTTTCAAAGTACCTATCGTAAACAATACGAATCAATCTTTTTTGAACATTTTCGATGGTCAAGGCCTGTGCCCTAGATATTGAGTTCCATATTACCAAGGCAAATTCCAAACGTGACCTAACTAAAGATTTGTAAAGATGTAACAAACAATGAGGCCTCCTGAAATTCTTCGACAAATGTGATATGATTCCCAGAACTCTCGAACTTCCTACCACAAAAGATACATGATTTCTAAAAGACAAGGCACTATCAACGTACACGCCAAGATCCTTCACACACAGTACACGTTCAATTGGCATGATATCAAGATGATAAGTAAAACTGAAAGGCACATGGCGTCGGCACAAGGATAGGACCTTTGTTTTTGCAGGATTAAGCAGTAATAGATTTTGTTCACACCACTGAAAAATGAGGGACACATCACGCTGTAGGATCTCGCAGTCCACAGGAGAGTAAATCATTCTAAACAACTTGATATCATCAGCAGTCATAAAACGAGATTTGATCAAACACTATGTTTTCTCGCCCATACACTTGCACAGGTAAACTGTGCACTCAGTACGCTGTTAAAACAAACACAAAAGGAGACCTTATTACCTGTCGTCCCGGGGAATCCGAAAAAACTTCATTCCTGGCTTCTTTAGCGTTCTTCCATTTTTTTTTACACCAGGCTACGCAGCAGTAGCTGCCGTAGCCAAACATCCCGGTGACAAGAGCTATACAAAAAATTTAAAACACCTGTTATCGTAATATTATAAAAACTGGTACCTATACTTTCTAAACTTTGGGGGAAAATATTTCTTCTTTCGACCATAAACTGTGGTCTAGTTAGCATTGTGGGGCCGTGATGCAAGAAAGTACAACGGTACACTCGAGGTTAACATATGCACAGTTTAACAACCTAGAACCCTTACTTGTATACCGCATGTTAATATCACGCTTTCAGCAAGTCAGCGTCCAATGCTCAAAACCGTGTAAACCTAACTTTGGCAGGCTTGCAGTTAAACGAGCTTGAGAAAACAAATGGAGCCATGGCGGCAGTCAGGTGTTTGAAATCACGCATATTTTTAATTTGACATCGTTGTACTGCTCGCCAGTTCCTAAGAGCTCAAAGTACAGGGTGAAACAAGGAGACGGCAGGTTCTTTAAATCGACCGGAAAATTCGGTTTGTTAACCTATCGTGCTATGACTTTTTGCAGCGTTGCCCACAGATGGTGCATTTTTTTCGTAAAATTTGCAAAAAGCGAACTTACCTAAAGAAAAAGTAAAGAAAGAAAAAGGCTTAGCTCCTATGGAAACGCAGCGCCGCCACCGGTCTGCAAACAACACGGCGCCGTTTCGCATGGGAGACAGGAGATGGCGCAAGCGGTTGCGACGCCAACTGCCGCCAACGAACGAGCAGACGACGCCGAGAGCCGGCCCTTTTGCAGACAAGGAACTGCAGTTCCTTGCTTTTACCGTTCCTGTCTTTTTTTTGTTTTGTTTCTGCGACTGTCGCCACCTGCGGAACGCGCGCCGCTTTTGAGTCGAAAAGATCGTCTGCTAAAAAGGCCTGCTCTCGGCGTCGTATACGCTCGTTCGTTGGCGGCGTTTGTTGCGCCATCTCTTGTCTCCCGTGCGAAACGGCGCCGCGTTGTTTGCAGACCGGTGGCGTCGCTGCGTTTCCATTGGAGCTAAGCCTTTTTCTTTCTTTACTTTTTCCTCAGGTAAGTTCGCTCTTTGCAAATTTTACGAAAAAAATGCACCATCTGCGGGCAACGCTGCACAAAGTCGTAGCGCGATAGGTTAAGAAACCGAATTTTCCGGTCGATTTAAAGAGCCTGCCGTCTCCTTGTTTCACCCTGTAAAAAAAGCCGGTACCATGGATCGGCGTACTACGCCACTTGCAAACAGACACACTCCAAACTTCACAAAAACAAACAGACAAAATACGGGTTCAACAAAATATCTCACATCACCGCAACGGAAGAATGACTAGAAACCCGCACGAGACAACAAGTCGCGGAACCCGCGGAACCAAATCAACCCACACAACGAGGCAAGAGACCCAGAACACCCAGACCAAGCAGCAGCCGAAGTATCCGCCCTCCGTCGAGTCCACGACTCCGAAGCCAACAGTCGCGCCGCAGCCATAGCCAACGCCGTTGAAGTCGTTGTTGAAAGTTTTCAAAGTTCGTAATAATTTTAAAAGTTTACTCTATACAAAAAAGTTATTTATTAATTTTTTAAATCTGACAAATGTTCAGGATAAGTGGCACTGTTGTGCCTCTTAACGGCCAGTAAAGTCCCTAACTCCTGGGCCGCGAAACAGCTTGAGTGGCCACTCTTTACGTAGTACTATATTTCTCTATGGCCAAGGGGCGTGAGCTCAAAGTGGCTCATGACACGACATCGCGGTAAAAGGTGACGCCACTGCGTAGCATGACGTCACAATCTGGCATGATGTCATGATGTTGCATGTCATAATGGTTGATATCCTTGTCACGTCACAGTTCACGTAACGTAATTGTGTCCTATGACGTCACAAAATCATGTGACATGACCTCGCAATTTCCCCGCTAAATGTAGCGGGTAAATATCTCCACTGAATTCCGGTGGAAAGTGCTGCCTATCATAATCGCCGTCAAGTGCTATGGCTCCTTCGTTACATTTGAAAAAAGGCCTAAACAAGGAAACTTTCTTGTTCTCTATTACAAAATGAACGATGCTTTCAACCGAGAAGGATCGCACTTGTGTCAATCTAGGTGCGCAGCTGAAAAAAGAAGGGACATTCAACAAGGCTGTCCCGACCTCTTTGGATGCTTCCACACTGCGGACATGATAAGAACGCTACAAGCGTTGTCACAGCGTTCGTTGAGCTCGCCTTAAAACGCCTCTTCTGTAACCAAGGTGTAAACGCGCGTTCCCCCATTTGGATGCCTTCGGCAGTGAACGAATTCCCGTCCACGCCTTTTACTTTCCGGTTAGAGCCATGACAATCAGCACGCCCAGACGGAGCTTCAAAAAAAGTCTGTCCCCTTCGGTTCAGAAATGTAAGACCACAAGAAACTGTTCTCAAATGACAACTCCCCCCCCCCCCCCCTTCCCCTATCTCCCGCCCCAAACCAAGACGAATAAAATAAAATAAAAGTGACTAGTGCCAAACGATCCAGGCCTAAATTCGACCCTCACGGATTTTGCCTTAAAAATAGTATACCTGGTGATGTAAATATACCTTTTCCGATATATTTTTGCTATGCCTTTTTCTAAATATTTATGATGACTCCCTGAATTTTGCGGAAAACGGCTGTCCGAAGTGGTAAAATGTATGATATATCTTTTTCAAGAAAAGTTTGAAATGTGACTGGGAAATAAACACCGTTTGTAGTGGGTCGATATATTTTTCAGACTTAGACTACAATGGGTTTCGTTACATTTTTTTTATTGTTTTTAAGGGTGCTGCGTTAAAATTGGCCTAAAAAGTGAATATTAACTCTTTATCTTAGAAAACAGGCTACCATAATAATCTTCAAAACGTATGTGTGTTATTAATTAGAAAAACGAATACTTTGAAAAATTAGTAACAAAATATGTTATCGCGTGTTTTTAAAATAGTCTACATTGAAAATTTATCAAAATACCCAGTTTCCAAAAAGAAAAGCAAAAAGAAGAAACTCATGATGGTGGTTGGCTTAAAATACGTACTCAAAGGTGACGGATAGTATAGATTCCAAAAGTTAGAAAAAGTATTACTTTTGAAAGGCGCAAAAATAGTCAAACTTTGATCCATTGACAGAAACAAAATATTGCAAATACATGCTCAGTCTTCAAAGCAAAAAGAAAACAAAACGCTCTCGGGCCAAAAAATGCATGCTTTATGGTTACTGTATATGTAATAAATCACAAAAAAGAAAGAAACTAACAAAGTTTTAGAAACAAATTTAAAGCAAAAGAATATTTTTAATGTTGGTTTTTGCAAGCGTTTAACATATCGCAAAATGCAAATTAAAAAAGAGGTGTTCAGTTTAAAAATACATACTCAACAGTTATAAAAACTTAGAATCCAAACAAAAAAAAAAAAGTGAAAGCCGTTTACAACTCCCTGTAACGCCGAATTGGAGCGCAGCTCTTGAGGAGGAGGAGGGAAGGGTACTGGGGGA